AAAAAGGGAAAATCAGAAAAAGACAGAAAAATCAGACAGAAAAAAAAGTAAAATTCAGGAAAGGAAAAGAACAAACAGAAAACAAATGTTGCCGTTAAGAAACTTTTACCCGCTTCGCTCAGCTGTCCCGGGCACATTGACCACGCACGGGCCCTTGGTTATTTTCCCACTTCCGTTTTGGATGGCCAGGAACGCACAGTCCATGCAGACTCTGCTTGTTTTTAAGGCAGACGCTCAGCGAAGAGGCGAGACAACTGAAAAGCCGGCTGTGCCTCTCGCGTCTCCGCACCTTGCAGACCCCCCCCCCTCTTCTGCGCCGTGCAAAAGGAGGCTACAAAATGCGCAATAATGGATCTGCGAGCCACTTTCGGCGTGTGCATTGAATGGGGGCTCTGCTTCCTGAGCCGGCGAGGAGGACGCCGCGCCTAAATAAAATGTATTCCAAGCTTTTCCTTCTCGCGACACGTATTCGCGATTCGCTGAATTGCCTTTCGAGTTTCCTTTTCCCTGCCCCGATGCCACTCCCCCTTTTCCCAGGTCCCCAAGCCCGCAGGTCCAATCTGCATTGCATGAGCGCCGGGTCCCGCTACCACCCCGCCGCACCCAACCTCCCCCCTCCCTCCCCGCCTCGCCCACAGCTCTCCCCTCACCCTTTCACTGACGCGAGCAACGTAGACGCCGCAGCAATCATGGGAGATAACTCGATTAAAACCGCTCGCAGAACAATAGCCATCCTGTGCTGGTCAGGGTCGGAAGGCGAACGGCGAGGAACGCGGCAGAGGAGGTTAGGAGAGAGGGGGCGGGGTAACCACGCCATAGCGAGACGGGGTCCCTCTCCTCACCTCACCGCGGTGCAAGGGCCCCGGGGCCCCGCCCGAATACCTCCAGCAGCGGAGAGCCCCGTGCGGTCCTGTCTACTCGCCCGCGTCTGATCCGGATAGAGATCCGTCCGCCCGCCCAGCATACTTCCGGCATAGCGGCCACTTAGGGCCCCATCTCCTGCACGCGGCGCGCCGTCATTGCAATGCCATAGGGCGCAGGAGGCTGGGCGGGGCGGGGGCCAGCCAGTAAAGAAGTGCTCTGGCCACAGGCAAGGACGGCCTGCGGGCGACGCGGTGGCACCCGGATCGCGAGGCCTACTGACTGACGCCGACCACCCACTCAGCCTTCTTCGCACGTGATACTCTCACGACCGTCGACTGTGCGACTGATGATGACAAATGACATACTTATGTAGATCCGATTGTCTATATATATCGGACGTGGAGGTGAATCATAAAATAACAGCCGGGTCGACGTATGTGGGGCTGGGGTCAGAGGAGGTGGGGGAGGGGGCATATGGGACGTGCCAATGTGTGGGCGAGCACGTGGGGGATAGAAACGGCCAGAGTCCTCCGCGCGCATGTGAGTGAGTGAGTGTGTGTGTGTGTGTGTGTGTGTGCGCGCGCGGGAGGGTAGAGAGCGAGAGGAGAGCACAGCGACCCACAGCGGCGCGACGGAGACAGCCCTGCGTTATCAAGTTGTCAACGCCACTCATCCATACACCGCACCATACGCGACCCGGGTGGAAAGGAGTACAGAAAAACTGCATTGGAAACTGTACTTGCCTAACTGTAGTTGCGAAACTATAGTTATGTATGTATTTCAACTGCAATGCTGGTTATAATCACGACTACATGCTCAAATAACAGTCAGAAATATAAATAACATACACTTTTACTGCTCTCGCAACTGCACTTGAGAATGCACCCCGGAGTGTAAGTGGGATATTGAGTTGTTGCTGTAGTTTTAAAGCAGATAAATTGACAATATGATTCGCTCTTTCAATTGTACTTCGTGAATTCAGTCCGTGTTACATTCCATATGCAAAAAATATATAGTTAAAAAGAATTGTAATGACTGCACTCGGCTGTACAGTACGTTTGTGCGGTCAGTTTGCAGAACTACTGCTGTCTCTTTTATAGCAAACAGTCCTTCATAGTATGTTTTTCCCTGAACATTGCACTTTGTAAACAGACCGGGCTGTAGAGGCGACTCATCTGTCTAGCAGGTAAAAGACATCCTGGAAAGCCCCGCTCGGCCCCACCCCCCGCACACGTGCCGTTCTGCCGGCCGGGAGCATATTATGGGGGGCCGAATGCGGCGAAAGGAAATACCCCAAACCAGGCCTAGCTTCCTACTTAGGAGGGTGAGTACGAGTTTCCCACACTGCCGGACGTGCTCACGATGCCTTTTTTTCGCCTCCCCGGCTCGTGGTAAAATACTTCTACATAAAGATATTACGCGTAGAATACGTATACATGCATATAACAGCCGGTGTGCACGTTTTGCACGTGAACTACACTGCTTTTGTCCTGTGAACTTAGCAGGGGGCGATTTATTCGGTTGTAAATCTTAGGCAGCATAGGAACTACGCAACCGGTGGATTAAATGTAGCATAACTGTAGCTGGACTGTAGTTCGACTATAGTTCGACTGTGAGTTGTCGGACCGGACCGCTTAGAATGCCATTGGGTTCCTGCGAGACCAGAGCTATGGTGTCGCAGTGGCTCAGTGGTCATCGTACTGGGCTACCAACTCCGAGGTCAGAGGTTCAACTCCCATCATCTTCATCAACTTTCATCAAGGTAAGAGTGCTACAATCAATTAATCGGATGAGAGGGGGTTGGCGGGGGAAGGTAGAGAGGTAGGAGTAGAAGAAATTCCCGGCACAAATATTTTTCGAACGAAGTTTTGAACACTGCACTTTAAGTGTGAGACCAACTGTAGGTTTTGTTTGTACTTCCCAACTGTTGTTCGAAGTGTAGTTCGAAACTAACCGGCTAAACTGCAGTAAAACTGTGCAACCCGCGAAAAAACTATAGTCCAACTGTTGTAAAACTACAGCAGAATTGTAGTTTTACAACAGATTACTATAGTTAAACTACATGTTTACTACATCACCCATATGCATTTTGAATGGAGTCAAAGGATAGTTTTCAACTGGATACTAGATACAATACAAAATCTACATTATCCGCAATCAGAAAGTAGTCAATGTACACTTACACTGCAAAGGCGAATTTGGTCCGAGTGTAGTGAATCGCTATATTCCAAAATGCAGATCCTTCCACCCGGGGATCCCCCATACACTGTGCGGCTGACAGCCTATCGGTGTGAAAGTGCGCGCCCGGGGGGACTACAGGTCAGAGATTGGTTGCCGCGCCCGAGGCAGGGAAAAGGGGGGGGGGGGACCACGCATGGCAAAACAAAAGATACATAACTCGGCACACTTCAGTTGCAACAAATTACCATAATAGGGTATTTCACCAAGTTGAAACCAGATTCCAAGAATAACTGTAATGTTTCCTGGACTGTTCCTTATTGACTCTTAGTGGCTAACGCGAACAAAGTTCGCTGACCCACCACCAGGTCCGCGACTACCCCTGTGACGGGTCCTAGAACTTCGTCAGCTAATTGTTAATAATAATCGTCAGAAAGGAAAGAGTTCAGGGAGCAATGCCTTTTACTCGTTCTTTACCGCCACTCTCACTTCCCACTTGGAGGTGGGAGAACGAGAAATATGCTTGGTATGGTGTAATTTAGGTCCTCGATTCATCACCGTAACCAAAACACCTACAGCTATGCCAATTGAATCCAACTGTAGGTCTCGGAGGCCTTACCAATCAATAAAAGACGTTTTTTTCGGTTTATTACGTAAAATTTAAAGAAATTTTAGAAATAAAGTCAACGAAATGGCCGGTCGAGCGTGCGTTTTAGAGGGTTTTTCTACACGTACAAATTTCTCAATAGAGATATTTTTTACCTGACAAAAAAAAATGACTAAACAACTAAAATTACGCTAGCCGTTAATGTTTCAAATTAAAACAATCGTTTTACAACAGTTTTTGGTACTCATAATGATTAAAACCTCTCCTAAATGAAATTCTTCTAACACACAAAAAATCAATGAAGCACATGCGCGACCTGCGCCATCTATTGAGGAAAGCTGAAACTGCATCGGCGCGAAAAGTTTTGAAGGGCGATGCATTCACAAACATGATCTTCCTGTTTTCATTTCATAATTACACTAGACCAAACTTAGCTAAAGAACGAGGTTTCTCCTAATGTTCAAACATGATTGATGCCCTGTTTGTCTTCTTGTTATTTCCTTGGACCCGGTTTAAACTAGGTGAAATAATCTATTAGCGAATGGACTGACACCAGCCGGCCCTCCGCTGGTGTCGACCCCACCATTGCTATCTCTGTGTTTCTTCTCAGTTTCGGGGAGCGCCCCGTTGAAATACATGCCCTATGGAGGGGAGAACCGCAGTACAATCCTGGGAAACCACAAACAGAGTTTTCTGGGGTAAAATCACCTGAAAAACCAAATATGGTATTCACCTGACGCAAACCGGATCCAAAAAAGAACAACAGTTCTTCCTGCTGAACCCATCCTCCCTTGCACTGATCGGCTGACGAAGTCCTTCAACTGACTGCAATGGCGGTCGACTCAAAGTGTCGGGTACGAGAACGTCATCCACGTCAGCCATCTACGCCAAGAAGGAAAGGGTTCAGGTATAGTACCGGGTGTCCCGGCTCTTACATGCCAGTACGTTGGGTTGCCTATGCACTGGCAGCAGGGGTGCAGGCGCGGGGCGGGTGGCGGAGGAGTGGGGGGAGCTGCCACTCCTCCGCCACCCGCCCCGCGCCTGCAGCCCCTGCTGCCAGTGCATAGGCAACCCAACGTACTGGCATGTAAGAGCCGGGACACCCGGTATAATTTCGACTAACGTAGGAAGAAGAATAGCGGGTAGAACATAGAGGTTCCTGATTGGAAGCTTTTGACTAATCGGTAACGTTTATGTTCTACCCGCTATTCTTCTTCCTCTGTTAGTCGAAATATACACAATAACTGCTGTTTTCTTTTGGATTCGGTTTGAGTCAGGTGGAATGCCTTAATGTAGCATGCCAGTACAGCTGAAATGAAGAATATTGCGGGAAGGAAGATAACGGAAATCACTATGCTTTAACGTGGTTACTTCCGTTTTCTTATTCGTCGCAGTCTTCAGCATTTCAGCTTTACCAGAATGATTTATTTGTTGCAGGATCAAGACCCATCTCCTTGTTTGTGTCACGGCAGGCCGCGGCCCGACTCGGGCTTCAGCGCCGCATGCCATGGGTGCCTGGCTGTCACAGCTAACAATGACATTTCGTGGGATATCACGAAGCATGTTACGCGAGACGTGGTCTGGCACACATTTACCTAGAATGGCATGTTTAACATACTTTCAACAGTGTACTTCAACTAGCGAAGGAAGAAAATTAGCAGGTAGAACGTAAACGTGACCGATTGGTCAAGAGCTTCTCGCCTCTACCTCACGTCGTCGGTGGTTGGGGGAAAGGGGGGGGGGGGATACAGGTTCAACCAATGGGACGTTCCAGACTATCTCATACGGATGTGAAAAAGAACAAACTCACTGATTTATCTGTTTCCGCCTGTTCGGCATGAAAAATTGCCATGGAAGATTGGTCCGATTCCAACTTCTATAATGGAGCATTCCGGTAAAGATGGAATGCAGAAGAATAAAGAATTCCGGTAAAGCCAAAATGCAGAAGAATACAAGGAACAAGATGATAAAGCATAGTGATTTCTGTTTTTATCTTCCCCGCATTCTTCTGCATTTCAGCTTTACCGGAATGCTTTATATGTAGGGGTGCTCGAACTGGTCTGACAGTTTTTCATACCAGAAAGGTCTTAGTGGCACATGATCAGCTCGACCAATCAGAGAAATGAGGTAAACAGGAAAGTCAGTGAGTTTGTTCTTTTCCTGCTCCGGCGGCGTTGCAGAAGAACAGTACTTCTTGCAATATTGCGAAGCCTGTTACGCGAGACTTGGTCCAGCGTACATTTAGATAAGTAAATAGGGTATTCCACTGCAAGCAAACCAGAACCTAAAGATAAAAAGTATGACTACTCGATCTGTTTTCCTCCGCGCGCTCAATGGCTGGCCGACATACCAAGGTCAGACCAATCAGCTTTTAGGAGGAAACAAATCGGGCAGTCATGCTTTCGTCCTTAAGTTTCCGGTTCGCTAGGGGCGGAATACCCTATAGAGCATTCCGGTAATGCTGAGATGTAGAAGAACGTAGGGAGCAATAAAACGGAAGTCACCATGTAAACGCACAGCGATTTCCTTTTTCTTCTTTCCTGCATTCTTCTGCACTTTAGCTTTACCAGAAGGCTTCATTGAACTGGACCAGGATCTTGCCTCAAGGTGCCCTGCCATACTGCTCGACTCTAGTCGCACAGGTTCTACGGTTCGTGCAACTGAAGTCGCGAAGTTGCTGGACGACCCTTACGTCAAAACGGTCAAAACCGCATTTTTGGACAAGTTTCTTCGAAAACCGCTGCACTCAAAACAGCCACAATTTTTTACAGACGTTCGGCTCGTTCGAACGAGCAGGGTTATTTCAATAGACAGAAACATCACGCGAAGTGAAAACGAAACACTTTTCTGTTTGATAAGGATCTCACTTCGTGCTGCCCCACAGCTCATTTCCAGGCCGGTCAAACGGCCCTCGGGGCCGAAAGAGGCGGGGGTAAGGGGGAGGTAGCGTCGGGGACCTTACAAGTACAAGCGAACGAACGTATTTCCGAGCGAGGCGCATCAAGCGTTAATGAGATGCGAGGACTTTGCGAGTCCAGGTGGGGCTGGCGGTGCCGGTGGGGGCATGGGGGCGGCGGGGACAAAAGTTGGCTCGACTGGCTTGGCGGCCAGCACGGCTCCAGCAACGACAAGACAAGGGGCGGGCCCAGCAATAAAATATGAAGGGCCGACAGATTCCATCCTTTTTGAGAGGGAGGTGCATTATTTGCGGCGCTTCATACTCAAACTGTTTCAGAATATGAGCACCATCGTGACTTCGACTGTGCAGCCTGTCGTAGCGGACAAGAGGCCAGATTGTCGGGCGGCCCGCCCGATTGGTGGATGCCGCCGTCCCGATAGTCGTTACCGCCAGAGACGCTTCCCTCGGATACTTACGGCCATGACTCTCATCTCCACGCCCTGCTGGCCCGGCCCATGGCGATTAATGACACCGGCCTGCAACAAAGAGAGCGGGCGGGTCATGAACAGGTCATGAGTTTCAGGCTGACGTCAACAACATCGTTGAGATTTCCTGCCCAATGAAGCATTCCGGTACACCTGAAAACAGGAAGAATGCGGGGAACAACATAACAAAAATCCGAATTTTAAACATAGGCCGAGTCACTTCGGTTTTCTGGTTCCCTGCATTCTCTTTCACTTCAGCTTTACAGTAATTTGCCGATGGAAAAGGGAGGAAGGGGAAGGACGAAGCTGAGCGCATCGCTGGCCTCTGGCCTGGCCAAGTAGCACCGCCGCCTCCCCGCCACCGCCACCACACCCCCCCGTGCTGCTCTCTTGGGTGATTCTCAGAATACGGGCCATTTGGGAGTTCCTAAAATTTTAATTTTTTTTGTCGAATTTGCTAGGTTTTTGGGTCGCAATGGTTCTATTTACCTTCAAATAAGATACGTGTAAAGTGGCGATAGTTCAAATCACGTACTTTTAGTACAACGTTACAAGACCATATTGTGGTCACGTTCAATCAATGATAAAACTCAAGTATTGCCTCCCGCACCTTTTAATTAGTCTTTTGTTTGCTCCACTAGTGTGT